GGATAATTTATTTAGTCCTACTCCCTCACCCCATTTTACAGATGAAGACACTGTGGCCCAGAGAGGGAACTAACTGACTTGTTAAAAGTCACACATGTAGTAAGTACCAGAGTTCAGAGTTGAACACTGGTCTTCTGACTCAAACTTGGGGTTCTTTCCAATAAGATAAGGGCAGCTAAGTGGCGTAGCAGATAGAGCACTGAGCCTATTGTCTGGAAGACTTCATGAATTCAAATCTGGCCTCAAACACTTAACTAGTTGTGTGACCCTGGGCAAGCCACTTAACCTTCTCTGCCTCAGTTTCCTCATCTGTAAAATGAGCCAGAGAAGGAAATGGCAAATCACTCCAGTATCTTTGCCAAGAAAACCCCAAATGGGACCATGAAGAGTCAGATACAACTTACACGACTCAACAACCACCAATGGGACGGCCTCCCTCCCAAGTTCATGTGTAAAATGAGGTGGCTGCACTGATAACCTTTGATTATCTCTAAATCCCTTGCTTGCTCTAACATTCTGTGCTTGGCCACAGGATCATCAATCTAGAACACCCTCATTTTACTGATGAGGAAGCAGACCCAGATGAGGTCTTGACTTGCCCAAGGTCACAGAGCTCAAAAATGGCAGTCAGAATAAGAACCCAGGGTCTCTGACATCAAATCCAGCACTTTCCAATGCACCATCATACTGCCTTCATAGGAACCCTAACTCTTGCAAGCTTAGCCCTATAATGTGTATTTTTATAAGGTAGGGCATGCTTACAGCTTGCCTGGAACACACCTTTTCAAAATTAGACTTTTTTTTTTTTGGCTAGGCAATGGGGTTAAATGACTTGCCTAAGGTCACACAGCTAGTAAGTGTTATGTGTCTGAGGCTAGATTTGAACTCAGGTCCTCCTGACTCCAAGGCTGGTGCTCTATCCACTGTGCCACCTAGCTGACCCAAAATTAGACATTTTTAACACTGAATTTTTCTTAGACTTTGATAAGGAAAAAAACAATGTCCCAAACCTCCAGCTTTACCCCCAATAAAGCCACTAATTTAGACTAATGATAGTAGATGATCTGCTCCTTTACATCCTTAAGAAGCCTTTCTTCACTAGGAATTCACTAATTTTTAAACTAATTGAAGAAGAAGAAGACTCTTTCCCTATTGGCTATCTACCATGATTGTCAGAGTTACTGTCTATAGGCTTTTTCCTAAAACAACTGGGGGAATATTATCCTTGTTACTGGGCAACAAAGCAGGCTTAATATTTTCTATAACTAGCCAGGGGCAAGGAGTCCTAACAAAATTGGCATACCAGATCATCCAGTTTCTACAGATACAGAGGGGGGGAAAAACCTAGTTATAGGGGTAAGGAGGAGGGAGAGGAAAGGTTTAAGGTTCACAGTCTCCATGAAGATTAACATTGCCCCAGCATTTGGCAAGAAGGAATTATTTCTAGCTGTGTGGCCTTGGGTCATAACTTTTCCAACCCTTTTTTTTTTAAATCAGTACTGACTGTAAAATGAAAGAATTAGACTAGCTGGGCTCCAGGGTCCTTTCCATCACAGTACTGTATGAATTCTCTAGGAAACGAAAGGGTCAAATTCGTTCTCCCCCAAATGGGCACCAAATGGAATTTTTTTGTCCAGCCTCTTGGCTATTTGAGCTTGCCTCTATCCAGCACTAGTACACACTGTTGGTTCATAAGATCACAGATGTTGAGCTAGAAGGGAACTTAGAGAGTGTCTGGTTACTTTGTTCAGTCGTACTTCTTCACGTACACTTCTGGGAATACATGCAATTAGAGAAGTTTCTGGCCAAGAATTTTTGTAGATATTTGGCTAGACAGGCCTATATTAGATTGGTCTGACCTTCCCCCGACCATTAAAGCTGGTGAAATTAAGGGAGAAAATCCAGTTTTTGTTGCCTTGCGATCAGTAGTAGGCTTTGGTAGAATGCACATCCTACTTTTTATATTTGTAAAATACCTCTCAAGGCCTTAATTTCCTTATTTGTATGATTTGATGAGATGACCTCTGAGGTCCCTTACTGCTCTTAATCTAGAAACTATATTCCTAAGAATTTCAGAATCCCTGGCATGGTGGTGCATCCCTTGGGTCCATGCTACTGCGGGGGGTGAGGCAGGTAGATCTCTTGAGTCTGGGAGTTATGAGTTGTAGTAGCTGTAGTAGGACTAAAGCCAATCAGATGTCCACACCAAATCAGCACCAATATGGTGGTTGTTTGTCCTTCATTTTTTTTTTTTGATGAGACATTTGGGGTTAAGTGACTTGCCCAGGGTCACACAGCTAGTAAGTGTCAAGTGTCTGGTCTGAGGCCAGATTTGAACTCAGGTCCTCCTGAATCCAGGGGTGGTGCTCTATCCACTGCACCACCTAGCTGCCCCTTGTCCTTCATTTTTGAAAAGGATTAGTGACATCACAGTTGATGTCTGAACTCATGGGTGAATTGGATTTAAGTGAGGCAGAGTTGCACAGTCATCAGCCTCTGTCTCTCCTCCAAAGTCATCCAAGCCCAGTGGCAAGACAAAAGTTAATATGGTAAGCCGCTGGGAGAGGAAAGAAGGGGAAAACTGGGCCAGGTCAGAAACAGAGCAGGTCAAAGCTTGTGCCCCCTGGCAGCGGGGTCAGGTTCAGGAGCTTGCACTTCCAGCCTGAGTGAGATAGGGAGACCTAGTCTCCAAAAAAAAAAGAAAGAAAAGAAAAAAACAAAAGACAAACCTATACCATAGAGCAAGGAAACCAGTCATCAGAGGGATGTATTTGTAAAATACATATAGTAAATGTAATTGATATCTGACCCACATTACCATTTTCAAGCTTTTGTGGATATTCAGTTCTTAGTTGGTACAGAGCGGAATACAGGGGTTTGATTTCAAAGGTAAACAAAAAGTAAGTGATGCTCAAGGTTCAAAAAATATAATTCCTCAGCCTACACTAGCCTATACTAAATTCCCTGTGTCGGGCTACTGAATCAGAGAACTTCTAGAGAACTTGCTTCAAGAAGGGATATGCTATAGAGACCCTGTTTCAAATTCCAGCTCCACCCCTCACTAGCTGTGTGAAGACACTTTATCTCTCCAGACCTCTGTTTCTTTGTTCATAAAATGGATGAAGAAGTTAGACTAGACTCTTTCATCTATTTAGAGGTAGTGTCTTCCGCCTCTAAAATTCTTTGATTCTATGTTAGTCTCCATGCTTTTCTCGAGAAATTATATTTTACAAGTCCTTGCAAAACTTCTCATGCCCAGAAATCACGCACCCTTGAAAATTGCTTCTTCTCTTTTGCAGAGTGGCCTCTTGAAAATCTGTGCCCCTAGCCAGGCTAATGGGCAGCTAAGGTGGCACACTGTATAGAGTACCAGGCCTGAAGTTAGGAAGACTCCTCTTCCTGAGTTCAAATCTATCCTCAGACACTTACTAGCTGTGTCACCCTGGGCAAGTCACTTAACCCTGTTTGCCTCAGTTTCTTCATCTGTAAAATGAGCTGGAAAAAGAAATGGCAAACCACTCCAGTAACTTTGCCAAGAAACCCCAAATGAGGTCACGAAGAGTTGGACATGAATGAAAAATAACTGAACAATAACAACAAACCAGGCTAATGGGATTAAGGGGCCTCTCAGGGCTCCCACTCCCCCAATCTGATTGATGTTTTAGCACCCTTATCCACTTTGGCTGGCTCCCTGCTTCTCTTCTACTGGATCAGTCACTCCTGAATTCCGTTATAATGTGGGAAATGGGCGCTAGAGCTGCCCTCGACTCCGACAGCAGCAATTGCCTAAAGGAACGCCTTACTTGATTCTCTTTGGCCTGCCCTGGCTCACCTGGTGGTTTTCCTCACTGGGAATGACAGAATCAGTATTTCAGCTTTTCACTGGCCTCAGCAATAGGTAGCTGCTATTCTGGCAATTAAGCTTAATTTCTGAAACCACATTTTAACAGTGGAACTATGTCCTCTCCTCCATTTGGTTCTTGAAAGCCACCTTTTCCCATCTTAGAACACCTTTTGCTACCTTTAGACCCCATGCCCGGAATGTTCTCCTTTCTCATATCTGCCTTCTGGGCTTCCTTTTATCCAATCCTTCAACCAGCCAGGACTTACTGAATGCCTAATAGGTACACAGTACTGTACTAGACACTAAGCAGGCCCTTTGTTTTAGTGAAATTACTACATTTACCAAATACTCCCTAACAAAAGGAAGGAAGGAAGGCTTCTTTGCCAGGGTGTGTGTGTGTGTGTGTACACACATATATACACACATATACACATATATGCACATGTATATTTTTTAATTCATCATGGGGTTGTTATATACATTTCTGGGTCCAGTATGGTATCAAAACAAATAATAAAGGTTTTGTTTTTTTTTTACTAGGCACTGGGGTTAAGTAACTTGCCCAGAGTCACACAACTAGTGAGTGTTATGTGTCTAAGGCCGGATTTAAACTCTGGTCCTCCTGACTCCAGGGTGGGCACCACCTAGCTGTCCCCAAATAATAAAGTTTTACTTCTAACTGCTATTTACCACCTGTGTGACTCCAAATAGGTAATTTCTCTCTGGGTCTTAATTATCTGTAAAATGAAGGGGTTGGACTTCATAATACAGTAGAAAGACTGCTGGATTTGGAGTCAGAGGATTCAAATCCTACTTCTAATGTTTACTATCTGTATGACTTTGAGCAAGTCACAGCCACTTTGGACCTCAATTTCCTCATCTATAAAATCAGCTGACTGGACTAAATGACCTCTGAATCTATAATCCCATGACTCTAATAATGACAGAACCAAACCTATACCACTATTCATTTAAAGTGATATGAACCAGCTAGATGATGGTACCCAAACAGAGTTGTTCTATGCATATGGATCCCCACAAAAAATGGGTATAACATAACCAAACCAAAATATATCCAGGTTTAGCCAAAGAAGAAGGTGCCCAGCCAAAAGACTTGACATGGCTAGTATAGGAATAGTAAAAACACAGACACATATGGATTCAAGTTTTTCATTTATACCCCTATAAATCAAAGGGCCTTTTAACAGTTATTGACTGACAAATACCTAAAGTCATGAAAATAACCTCTCCAGTTCTCTTCCTGTTTTAACTGGACCAGATTATCTGAAAACAGGCTGCACACACTTAACTCAAATGATGACAACAACAGCAACTGAGAATGTGTAGGGCAGAGTTCTCTGAAGAGCTGACAAGGACTAATGGTTTATGGTTTAGCAACATTGTTGATGCTGGCCTTCAAGACTTTCAGGGTAGTGACATGAAAGAATTTGGTTCACACCAAGTAGGAACAATCCCCTTGACTCCAGACTGGGGAGTCCTATCCCTGGCTTGACTGCTTCTCTTCCCAGCATGGAGAACAGGAAACCAATCAAAAAGCCAAGTCTTGCCTGATAGTGGTATAATTGCCACAAATATTCTCTAAGCATTATTGGTTTCTATCGCTCCATGGAGAAAAATCTCACTGGCCAGTCGTAGGAAAGGGTTTGGAAACAACTATGACTTGAGCTCGCGGTCTGGTTTCATGCTAAAGGGCTCCAACCTCTCATTCTCAGGAAGCAGGCTGTTCAGTCTCTCCATCAGAGGTACAGTTTGGTCAATGCCCATTTGTATGCGGCGTAGAATAGAGGAGATTTCATTGACCTTCTGGATCTGTTCAGCATACTTTGAGTACCGTTTCTGTCGCTCCTGCATGAAGCCAAAGAGTGTCTCCACAGTGAGGTCCATCTAATGGAAGGGGAAAAGAACAAACTCATCAGGCATACAAATCCTCTTAACAAGTCACTGAATGTGAGATGGGGAAACCCATCTGCTGCACAGTTGTAGAAAAAAAAATCAACTATAAAGCAAGGAATGGGGAGGGGGGACGGGAAAACATTCCATAATGAATCTCCTAGACAGCATCATTTAGTAGAAAGAGCACTCACTGATTTGGAGTTAAAGGACCTGGATTTTAATTCAAGTTCTGTGACTTGGACTTGCTACCTATACCTATGGTCTGACTCTTTATTACCCTAGGCAAGATACAACTTTTTCTCGGCATTTATTTCCTCAACTAAAATGATAGGATTAGACCAGAAGATCTCTTAAGGTGCCCTTTGAGAGACCAATGATCTCAGTAAGTAAGCTTTAGGCATAACAATACTTAAAGAAAGGCAGTAACTCAAAGGATAAGCAATGGATGTTTTTCTATTCATATCAACAACAACAACAACAAAAGACCTGCATTGCCTAGTCACAGCTGGTCTATCAGCAATAAAGCAAAATAGATGGAACTGCCCCCTCCATTCTGCTCACACACCCTTCTGGCTATGTGCTATCCACTATAAGAGAAAAAGAGATCTATAACTTCACGGGTAGAAGGAATTCCCAGATGAGAGAACTCCTAAGTGCCGGTAGGTACCTTCCCTGCAACTTAGAGACTTGGAGAGCTGCCTGGAAGGTTAAGAAGTTAAGTATCAGCTACAACATATCTGAGGTGGTATCTGCCACAGTTAGCTTTCCACCCACTATGCTAGAATTCCTTTTCTCCTTAAAGTCTGCCCTTGAAGTTAATTCTCAACAGTATAAAATGTATAGGAACCTCACAGAGTATGGATCTGCCTCATATCTATGCTGGGATGGCCCTGAGCCTTATTATATTATTTTAATACTAGAAATAACACTGTTCTTCCCCTAGCACTTAAGAACATGTTTCGCAATGAGTAGGTGCTTAATAAATACATAGTGAATTGAACCAAAAACACAGCACTCCAATGCTATGAGAAATACAAAGATTACATAAAACAAAGCTCATGCCCTTATGGAGCATATGGAACAGCAGATGAATGACATGTAACCACATGACTGTAATACAAAATGTTATAGGATATTTGTACCCTTTGGAGGGGTGCAAAAAAAGTACTTTTTAAGGCCTAAGGAAGGTCTGCTGCTTTCCAAGTGTGTGACCATGGACAGAAAGATCATTTAACCTCTTTGATTAGGCATTGGCAAACTACAGCCCAGTTCACTAGCCTGTTTTTGGACAGTCCTTGGGCTAAGAATGATTTTTACATTTTTAAATAAAGTTTTATTGTATTTTAAAATGTAAAAACCATTCTTAGCCCAAGAGCTGTGCAAAAAACAGGCAGCAGGCCAGATGTGGCTCCTGGGCCATAGTCTGGTGATCCTTGGACAAGATGATTTCCTAAGGTCCCTTCCTATGATCCTTACAAAAGGAGGAATGATCACAGGTTAGGAAGCAGCAGAACTAGGACTGCGAGTAATTCTTCTTAAAGTAAACTAGACCAATATACAAACAATTTTATCCAAGTACTCCTGACTTTGTCATGCTGCTTGACCACCCTCCACGTGCTCCATTCAATATGGTTTACATGGCATTCTGCAAACTGCTGGAGCTCAGTCCATTACTACTAAATGCCAACACTAACAATGCTTCTGATGAAGACACACCCGTGAGAACAGAGCTGGCCCCAAGAAAAAATGCCAAGTTCTATTTCTGTATACTGAGGCAGGAAGAGGGGAAGAATAGAGATAGACATATTTCTTACTACAATGTTTTTCCTATTCCACCCTCATTTATTGCCTTGGGAATAAGAGCTAGGGTAGGTGAGAAGAGGGAAAAATGAAACTCATAAATTTAAGCTAGATAAGAAGCTCCAAGAAGGCAAAAAATGATGTATACCTTTCAATAATAACGCACTTCTGTAGTAAATTACAGTATTCATGGAATAGGCTATTACCAAGTCTAGAAGGGATAGAAAGATATTCAACCAGCAGCTACCAGACATTTGATCTAACGAGAGTCAGTGACACAGCACACGAGCTGGCTTGGAATCCTCATAACAAGCTTAATAAACAGAATATTAAGAAATCATATCTACATGTGCTATTAATATTTTTAAATTCAAGGATATGGAGAAAGAAAGAGACTATGATTTGAGGTGATTCCAGCTGCCATTCTATTCAATGAATGAGCCTAAAGCAAACAGAAGATTAAGTATAAACTAGAACTACTTGTTGCAGCAATTTAAATTCAAGGAGTTTAAAAAAGAATAATCTCTTCCTTGTGGGCAGTTTCTCCTGCCATTTCAATTTCTTCATCTGGTACCAAATATCTCTCCAAATGACTGATTAGGTGGTTAATCCAAATGACCAGACTAGGGGTGGGAAGGGAGAAAGAAAACCTATGAACGAGACTTCTCTGTTCAAAGGAGATTTATTAAAAGATAATCTTTATAGCTGGGTGGAATGGAAGTGAGATGTTGAGAACCTCCAATGATATAGATAGTGGGTCAAATTCAAATAGAAATGGATCCCTGCTGACTGTTGCCCCATATTATTTACTTTGTTAAACATTTCCCACTTCCATTTTAATCAGGTTTGGGCTGCATTTAGGAGTTTTGTGGTCACACGTCTTTCCACCTTTGGTGTAGTAGATTAGGGAAGCATCACAGGTCCAAAAGTGGCTTCCCAGCTTTCCTTTATGTATAGGAAAAGCCTCACCACTGATGTGGATTAAACACGCTGCTTCGTTTTGGAAGTTACAGGATAGTGATTATTGGGGAGCAAAGTGTTGTCTACTACCTCTGACTCAAGATATTTGCACTGACATCTTTGAGCACAGCAACTGGCTAAGGGGTAAGAGAGCATGGAACTAGAAAGCTTCCCAATCTACTCAAGGTTAGATAACAAAAGGAGAGAATATGCAGGGTCTTATCTATGCTGTCAGGTGCCATAGGACAGTCTACCCAGAAGAGGACTTTTAGCTTCTTAGCTAAAAATTAGCAAAATTAAAAAGCCAGGGACACAATACTTACAGGTTACATACCAATTATCTGCTAAGTGCTGCCACTTGTCTGGAATTGTTCTCTATGGTGAGGAATCAAAGGCCCAAAAGAGGTGCTTGTATTTCCGTAGCTCCTCACCCTAGGGATTACTCTAGTGAAATGCTAACTTGAATTCCACAGGTGAGAGAGAATCAATTTCCAATAAAAGATCTTAACAAGGCTTTATTGTCATCAAGACGAGGTAGCAGTAGACATTTGTATTATATATGTTGTATAGCAAGCAATGTTGATTCCTTTCCACTCCTCAGTGACAGAGGATTGCATTTGCCATTAGAAGATTCAAGGAATAAAAACTGTATCATTATACACATAATAAGCAGGAGATAATCATAGAAAACATTAAAGCAGAAAAAGTTAACCTTGACACAATGGAAAACACGAATTTGCCATTCCCTAAGTTGGTCTCAGTTCTCAAGTGCCTCTCATGGTGTGAGATGTGACCAAGCTAAATGTGATTCTCGAATTTCCTTATCCCTAAAGGCAGTCCACTCCTGCTTAGGCTGGCAGAGTTAATGAGAGGGCTGGTCTTCCCATAAGTTCTGGTCACCCAGAAGGTCAAGTCAAAGCAATTTATTAAGTGCCTACTACATGCCAGGCACTGTACTAAGCACTTGGGATACAAAGAAAGGCAAAACCAGTCCCTACCCTCAAGGAATTTAGTCTAATGGGGAGAGAAAACATGCAAACAACTGTGTCCAAACAAGATATATTCAGTACAAACTAGAGATAATCACAGAAAGCAATAGCATTAAAGGTATCAGGAAAGACTCCATGCAGAAGGCGGCATTTTAATTGAGACTTGAAGGAAGCCAGGAGTCAGAAATGAGGAGGGAGAGAATTCCATGCATGAGAAACAGCCAACAAAAAGGCTGAGTGTCCTGCTCAAGGAAGAGCCAGGAAGTGCGTGTCACTGAACTGTATATAGAGGAGAGTAAAGTATAAGAAGATTGGAAAAATTAGCAAGATAACAGGTGATGAAGAGTTTCAAAACTCTTTCAAAACAAAGGATTTTATATTTGATCCTTTAGGTAATGAAGAGTCACTGGGTTAGGGCTGACTGAACAGGGAGTGACAGGGTTGGACGGTTTTTCAGGAAGATCACTTTGACAGCTGAGTGGAGGAGGGACTGGAGTGGGGAGAGTCCAACCAGAAGGCAAAAGGTGATAAGGGCCTACACCAGTGGGGTGGCTATGGTGTTCACTTTTAGTTCTTCATGTACCCTCTTGCCTCACAGTGAAACAGGAAGAAGAAACAGTTATATTTGACTGACTAGTTTCTTGATCCACAGAATCGCAGAATTTGAAAGTTGGAAGGGACCTTTGCAACTATCAAGTCTGATCCATATACTGAAGGAATTCCTATTATAACAAACTCAAGACATGGCCATCAAACCTCTGCCTGAAGACCTGCTCTCCCTTGAGGAATCCCACCACTCTTTCAGGTAGCCTGTCCTACTTTTGGATAACTCTAATTGTTAGGAAGTGTTTCCTGATATTTAGCCAAAATCTGTCTCTTTGCAGCTTCTACTGCTCCTGGTCTTGCCAAGAGTCTGAGGCCATACACAACAGTCTGATCCCTCCACATGTCAGCCCTTCAAATATGTTCTCATAGCAACCCCTGCCCCAATTTCTCCCATCCAGCCCCCAAATGCCCAGTTCTTTCAACTGATTCTCATATGAGATGGACTCAAAGTCTTTCACCATTCTAAATGCTCTCTCTGGACACTCAAGCTTCTCAATATCCTTCTTCAACTGTCATCCCCACAACAGAACACAGTGCTCCAGATGAGATCTAGGACAGAGTACAGTGAGACTATGTCCTCTCTATTCGTTATAGCTATGTTTCTCTTCAGGCAGCCTGAAATTGCTTTAGATTTTT